TAAACTATGTTAAGGCATTACGCTACTTTGTTCTCTTTTAAAACACTCCTGTGAGAACCTTCCATCCCAACGTGTTTAAAGTGCTTCAGTGGGCTAACTGCTTTGTTTATCTTTTTTTGATCCCTTCAACTCAACTTCTCCTCTCTCAACAGTACCTGCTTCACTCCTCCCCCTTTTCTACCTTTTGTGTTTAAAGGACCATGATCCTTTCTATTTAGTACTCGTGCTCTCTGTGGGTGCATCCCCACTAGTGCTCACGTGCGTTCTCAGGGACAAATAGCAGCAGCACATTTGTCCTGGTGGCCTCCCCAGGGCTTTAGCAGCAGCAGTCCAAGCACATGAAGCCTGGCCGGCAGCTGGATCACGGCCATGGTTTGGAGTGGTGCTTGTTTCTTCCAAAGTTACAAATAGTGTTACAAAACTATTTCTTATCCTCTTACACTAGCATGGTTTCTTTCCAGGCTAGAATTTCATGAAGCTCTCAAGTCTGTTGTTTACTAGTCGTTTAAAAAAAAAAAGCCAAAGGTTTATCCTGAGTCTAGTGGCCTGTGGTAGTGAAGGCACACCAGGCTTTGCAGCCAGTAGCACACAAGGGATTAATGTTGTCTAGTATCACATCTTCCTTCATTTGACTTTCCAACCCATATGCACAGATAATCATTTAGCCTGCCTTCAGCATGGCTATGGACAGAAGTTATACATAATCCAGTATAAGTGATTGGAAACCTGCTCAAATCTGTAACACAACAAAAGTTCAGTGCACATAAACCACTTTAAAAATGGCTGAAACTGGTTTAAGATAAGCCTGGCTGGATGTAGTATCAGACTTAACTGATTTTAGGTTAAGTTGGTTTATTGAACTTTTGTCCCACATCCAACTTAGCTCAGACCTGCAGCATCCCAGGTATGCTTTGCACTTCCCCCACAAATTTCCCTTGTAATGTTGGCAGGCTGGCCTTGGCCCAAGCTGTCTGCTCCATCCATCCAAACAGGGAGGTGTGCTCTAGCACCCCCCCCCCCCCCCCCCCAGCCCAGTTTCTGGCCACTGCAGGCATGTGGCTGCATTTCTGGAATCAAAAGTGAATGCCTGTTCACTTGCTTAGCAGTTCAATCTATGCAGCTTAGTCTAACCCATAAAGGTTGCATCAAAATCAGCCTTGAGCTTTTTGACTGTCTGTATTTAGTCCATGTGTCTGGAGTGAGGCTCAAACTCTTACCCTTGAATCTGTACAAAGAACTTTAACCATGATGCTACTGAACCCACTGCTGTCATATTGGTGGTCATGGAAATTGATATGATTTTCATGGAAGAGTGTCACCTGGACAAAGCACTCTGGATTAATTCCTCACATTAAATATAAAAGTGAATATATTAGCATAATGACTGACTTTCTTTAATATTAAATACAATGTGTTTTTTTCCTTGAAAAGTGAATTTTAAATATGTAGTTAATAAAGTTCAGTTCTGCTATGATCACTTTTTCAGTTTTAATATCCTAGCCCACTTTTGGCTCCAAATCAGAAAAAAACAAAAGCCTGTTCTTCAGATTGTCTGTGATCAGGAAAACCACTTAAGAATATGCTCTGATTTTTAAACATATTCTTATTTGAAATAGGATCCTTGCCTGGATTGGAGCCTTGCTATTAATAAATTAACTATATACACATCTGTCTTGAACACATAGCATCTTTATTGAAAACATGTCCAGCATTTAGTGTGTCTTCTGAGAAAAAGGTATTCTAAGTGCTTTTAAGATCTAGGTCCTGATGTAGCAAAGCATGCAAGTATATTTAACTTTAAGCACACAGTTGCTTTTTCAGCAAGCCGTTGAGACTTCAAGATTTCTGCAGTCAGTTTTATTTCAAATACTTTCATGGTATAGTTTTCTGTTGAAATATACATTTTAAAACTGATGAAGCTGGGTCATGGGAACATATTGATTTTGATGATTTTTTTTTTTTGATAAAAAAAATCAAAATAGTTTTTGATTTGACAGAAATTAAAAAAGCATTACAATAGTGTCAATTTGATGCATTTTGTTTCAACTTAATGTTAAAATTAATTGTAATGTGTTATTCTATTTATAGCTAGGTATTATTATACATGTAATATTATTCATACAATAGAAAATAATACAATATAAAATGACAAGTGACATGAACTGAAACACTACACTAAAAACTAAAGATTTTGACACTATCAAAATTAAACATTTGAATGATACCACATTGTGATAGGGGGCTGTCCTGGGGCTAGATAGAGTTAGTCCATTCACCTGTCTAAGGAAGTCTGCCCTGACTTGCCTGCCATGACTTGAATGTTACTGATATATTAAGCAGGAGGCTTCCCATTCACTACCCCAAAGCTGCCCATTCACTACCCCAAAGCCAGCCATTCACTATTCATGGCTCCAAACCTCCCCACCATGCTGTAGCCTATGCCTCGCAGATGGCATCCAGATTATTATTATTGCTCCCTAGTCTGAGGCTGCGGCAAACTCAGTCCTTTTTTGGCCTCTTTCATACACGGTCACTCACGCTGCTCCCCTCTCACAGGGGCCTTTAGTATACTGCCCATTACTGGGCTACTTTACTGCCCTTGCTCCTCTTGAGTGACCCCTTTGGGCATCGCTACTCATTCTCCAGCATTACCACACAGCAACTTTGGATCCTGGGAGTTCACCTACCCTACATGTCATAACTTTGTGCCAACAATGGTCTTCTTCTGCCCCTAGCCCTTCACTGGGCAACTAATTTCACGCTCTTGCACTTGGGGTTGGCCCATGTACTGCCCTTGCAGCCCTACTCAGTACACCCCTGGTGCAGCCCTTCAAGCCACACTCTGCAGCCCTACTCTGTACCCCACTAGTGTAGTCCTTCAGGTGCCCAAGTTGCACCCTACTCTGTGGGGAGGGGGCAGGCACACAACAAACCACCCCTCTGGGGCCTTCCACCACTGCTGGGCTCAGGTGCCTCTTTATTAGCATGCCTGGCCCACATTGCTCCCATTACTCTCACAATTACCCACCAGATGGTGGGGGCCAGGGCTAAGGCTCCCCTACCCACCTGTCACTGGGGAGGTCACCGGCCTGGCATTTCTTGGGGGCTGTTCCACCACAAACAGCCCTGTCAGGCCACCCTTCCCCAGCAGGATGCAGTTTCAGGTCAGGACCAGGACCAGGAGCCTCCTACCATTCCCATAGCTCCTGCCCTTACCTCCAAGATGTTCCTCAAGCAGTAGCTCAGCCAGATGATGTTACTCCCTCAAACTGCTGCCCCAGTCTGTATGAGCAGGGTCCTAAAATGGCCACCCTAACCAAGCACCTGCCAGCTGCCTACCTCCAGGCCTTAAAGTGGCAGGCACCCAAAGATGCACTACCACACACATTGACATTTTTCATAATTTTTACTTTATAGGAAAGTGTTAAATTTGATGTTTCCACTTTGGAACATTTTTGCTTTCCCAAAAATTTTCCACAGAATGAAATTTCTGACTGGCACTGTTTGTAAAGCATCAAAGTGGTCCCTGAATGCATTTTGATTTGTAAATAATTCCTTCATAGACATCCCACCCTTCACCATATCTGAAGATTGAGTTAGTGGCTTTGAGTGAAGTCCTGGCTGTATTGCAGTCAATGGTGAGAGCCCTGTTTATTTCAATGGGGCTTGGATTTTACTTATGGAGTCTTAGGCTTTCCTTCATAATGCAGAATACTTCATAATAATGCAAGGTGTAATTATTTAATTTGTAAATGTAATGGCACTGCCTGTGTAAAGCATTATAAACATTGTTATGGAAAGATTACAGTAAACAGCAATCACTGACCTGTTTGAACGGACCTGAAACAAACAATTTTTACATTTTTTGGTTTGATTATATTTAATTTCATGTTGAATGAAATATTTTGTTTATCCTAAACTATGTAATTTCATTTGCATGCTTTTTAATAGTTCTAATATTTTTAAATATAATTGAAATTAATTTAGAAAAGAAACATTGTTTTGCAATTCAAAATTTCTATTTTGAATATGTTTCTGCTAAACATTTGGGTTTTAGGGAACATTTTAAAAGTATTTTTCTACTAAAACAATTGGGTGAAATAAACTACAATTTGCAAAATGATTTGATCTATCAGAATCTGCATTTTTTTAATAGAGAAAAATCTTACAGGCAAAACATTTTGCATAGCTCTGATCATGACACTGGCTTTTGTTCTCATAACCTAAAAAGCTTGGATTTTGTTTTAGGTGGGATGCAGCCAAACTGGTGAAAACTGGTGGTTGGAAATTCAGTGCAGCTTGATTCTGCTTGATCTATTGATCATTAAAAAGGAGCCTAGGGACTTCATTCATGGTTGGAGATGAAGATAGACAGTAGAGCCTCTCAGTGCCGCAAGATTAGTTTGTGAAATATGTACTTAGCTCCATCTGGGAATGCAAATTTTCTCTATTTCTTGAGTACTTTTGTATCTCTGTGCTTGCTCTATGCATGCAGGGATTATGGTGACTATGAGCTACATGCTATTATACATATAAACCCCCATTCATCAAGATGAGACACTACCAACTCACAGCAAAAGGGTCTTAGGAAATGTTTATTTCTCCGAGACACTCATGGCCCTAAACTGTATGCAGTTAGGGTCTTATACTGGGGGACTCCTTACCCAATATTGATATAGGAAATCTACACAGTTATCATGATTAGTTTTCTATACCAGTTGTCTTAAAATATAGGAAGTTTACCTATTCCGCCTTGAATTCTTACTACAGATGATGAATCAGCAAGGATGGGTCTGTGTTTAACACTTCGGTTTGTGATTTTTTTATAATCTCTGACATGACTGATTATGCCATAGCCTGGAGCAATTAATTGAATTAATGAATTACTTACTAATACATGAGAGTGATTAACTGAGATGCCTATTTGGATCCTATTCTGTGTAATGAGGCTTATGCATTGACAGGTGCAGACTATGGGCCTGATCCTGCCTGCATTGAAATCATGAGAAGTCAATTCACATGGGTAAAAGACTGGAGAACTGAGCCCTAGGGGCTTAAATCCTTTTTTGGAACAGGTAATAGATGCTCTTTTGAATTCAGCTTCTGGGTAGATTTACTGTTGTGTAATTTTGTAGAGTGCAAATGCATTGCCCTACATCCTGCCACATCTTCTACCTCTTCTTCCTTAGGCTACTTACTTTCTTATCAGTTCAGATTTATTTGTAGCAAGCGCCTGGCTTAAACAACAGCTTGAGAGGAGAAGAAGCTGGGTTTCATTTTAAGAAACAAAATGAAATCAAGAGCTGCCTCCTTGAGTTTCAGATACTAGAAAGGAAGCCCGCATAATATCTGACTGGTTTATTGTAATAAACGCATAGTTTTTAAAGTGATATTTTATAATCACAATTATAGGCTGTGCATTATTATCTTTTTTGCAATGAAAGAAAATCAAACTTGGTTGCATATCAGATAGTAAGGTTAACTTATATTCCAAGAGAAACTAGGTATTTTAAAGTTGAGCATTCTACTCTTTTCAGGGGTAAGTAGCAAAATCTTCAGTATAGTTTTTGCTTTATTCCTTCTGTCCTTACCATTGATTTTAATCCTGGAGTGGGTACTCTGCTAATTCTACTGAAGAGCCAGGAGCTGAAAAATCATTCTGGACAGAATAGGCTGTTTGCAGTTTATGGGTTTCTTTTGTCCCAAGAGTACAGATTTTGCCATCACAATGAAATATATTAGTTATGAACTAGAAACTTACTGTATAATTTTGATGAATGTGAAGGAGCTGGTCTGATCTAAGCAAAACTTGTTTTTTTGTTGTTTTTTTTAAAGGAGAAAACAGAACTGTGAGCCTGGTACATCCCCTACACAGTGTAACAACTTCAGTCAGCATAGTCCCAAGTTAAAGTGAAGGGCACTAAATTGTTGAGAGAGGGGAATGAAGCCCTGTCTGTCTTAGTTCTGGAAATGTGAGGAAAAGAAAGATGTGAAACACTAAATAAGCTGCATGACTTGATTTGTTTAGCAATATGGAGAAGGCTTCTTTGGGTCACTGGCATTTTATTAAGGATCTTAATTCTGGGATAAAAATGAAAGAGATATATTCAAAGAGCACTTTATTTATCAATAGCATTCATGGTGAAGGGGTGGCCTGTGCTGGTCTCTTGGTATGCAGGGGTCTATCTCCAATTCCATTTTCCCCAGCTCTTGCACAAGTAATATAGAGAAGACTATGTAAATAAGGTTGCAGGTAAAGCAAAGTGGGGTGAATATGTGGGGGGTGGAGCAGTATGGTGTACTTGGGGTTTGAAGACTGGTTTGATCAGCAGGCTAATGATTTTCCTGTTTTTTTTCTTTCTCTGCCTGTGCTACTACCCTTTGACTTATGGTTCTAAAGATTCTCCTATGCTGGACACTGATTTGTTTCTGCTGAGTCGTCCCAACAGCTTAAATATTTCCAAGATGGATTTTTTTAATTGTCCAACCTCACATTAATTATTCTTTGTGGCATCCTTGGTGCTGATTTTTAAAATTCACTCTACATTTTAAAGTAACAGACTACATTCTGGCCCAGACTGTGGCTTAGAGATCTGCCCTGTGAGGAAAGTGGCTTGTCTCTCCCTGTGAAATCTCTTCCATTGCCTTCCCTAGAGGCCTCCATGTGTGTCTGAGAACCTACCTTCTGAAAGAGGACTGGGTAGATCAGGGCAAACAATGGAAAAGTAAAAAATAGCGTATATACGGTACCCTTTTATGGGCCTAGAGAATTTCCCTAGAAAAGGGATTTCATGTCTAGGGCATAATAAATGGCTATATATTAAATTTCAGGACTGTATTTTCTTTTCTTAGATCACACTGTAACTGTGGTTTTTGAGGTCATAGTGCCTAGGACGATTCTCTGGTAGCGTGGATCTAGTGTGACCCATATTAGCATGTAAGTGTAAAACTATCAGGAATAGGAATATTCCTCAAATGTGAAGAAGACGTAGGGAAGGTATCCAGAGCATGAAGGTTCTTCCTGGTTGTGCGGGAGACTATCGTGTGGAAGTGAAAGAAATTGCTCAGCTGGAAGAGTGAGAGCTTGGAAGGTAGGTTGCAGCATTTCTGAAGATGTCAGTCCTAGATAGTCAATAGGAAGTCACTGGACGAGGGGAATATAGCAGGGCTGAGTGAAAAGCAGAGTTTCTGGCTCACAGCCATTAAAAAAACCCATATGAACCAAAAAACAGGACCTGGTTTGAATTGCATCTAAACAAAATATCCTAAATTTCCTTGTGTAAAAGAAGTTCTGAGGCTATGCAGTATTTCCAAAATGGAATTGGCTTCCTAGACTCTGTAGCTGCCTAGTAAAATTGACACACTTGTCAGTTTCGCTTGCTTTGCATCACGATGGATGTAGCTCTGGTCACATCTGGGGCTTTCTGATCCCTTGTGCACTGTAGGAAGTCTGAGAGCTTTGGGATAGCTGACTGCTTCAGATGGAGACCCTTCAACCATTTGTTCTTCCATACTGGGGTAGTCCACCCACTGGTTTGTCTCAGAGCAGTCCATCGGAAATCCATGGTGGGTTTTGTGGGAATATGCCTTGGACTTGGTGAAAGTTTGTCAAGTCCAAGATGTTTTAGATGAAACATTTTGGACTAAACACATCGGCATTCTGAATTTCTGATCTGCTGTAGACTTTAGCCTCTTTATTCACCATGTCTCCAGCTTCTGAAGACTATGAAGGAGAGGATGTCAAAGCTAGCTCCAAGAGCTGACTGGCATAACAGATGTAGGCAACAAAAAATGAAGTTTTCTCACGTTTTGTTGTTTACCTGACTGAGAAATTATTAGATGCTATGTTTAAATGTCAATAGCATGATCAAACAGGCTAACATTTTCTATTTAGTCCATTTTAGTCTTGAGTTGAAATAAAAATATGTTATCTGTTGTAGAGAATTCTGTAAACAAGTACTTTGAAAGAAAGCGAACAAACAAAGCCCTTGGAAAATTCAGTGCAAGAATGACTTTGCCTTAAAGTTATAGATAATATTTAAATACAGAAGTTAGAAAATTCAAAGTTAGGGTTTCTACTGCAATAATTTTTCTGCAACTTCTCTTATGAATGAGGCATAGGCCACTTACAGATATTAAAATGATTGCATAATTGGGATCAAAGGAATTTTATGCTGCATCGCAAACATTGCTTCTCCTGTCATGCCATCTGGCGTGTCAGGAGGTATGATGTTTGGGATAGAGCATAAAATTCCTTTGCTCCCAATGGTGCCACTGTTGAACTGCTCCCAGCCTAATTCTGCACATCGGGCAAAGTGTGAATCTGTTCTGGACCCAGAGCTCCCGCTGCAGGTTTAAGACCTGGGGAATCTTGCAGCCCTCTCTCCTTGCAGCTATTTTTTTTTTTGGCATTGGGACCAGGGATGCCCTGTTCCTGATGCTGGCCTCTGTCCCTGTGTTGATGCTGACAGTCAGTTGATGGGGTGCTACGGGTTCAATTGCTAGTGGTATATGAACTAAACACAAAGACGTTGCCTATTATTATTATAATATATATTTTTTGGAATAACTTTGTGGCTGGTTTGACACTTTATGGTGTCATAGTTCTGCTGAATATATAGAGCATTGTCACTATTTATGGTGTGATTAACGCATTAATCACACAATAACTGTAATGTGTGCCAAGAGCCATAGATTTAAATGATATAGATGGGGTTACGGTTGGTTTTGTTACAAGTTTGAAACTGATCTCTTTGAACCTACTGTTAATCAGCAATAACTTAAAGGCCTGACCCATATGTCTTTGCTAAGGTGGTATCACTTTTTGGAGGTGACAAGCTAGTTTTACTTCCCACATGGTTCTGATGGTCGTGGCAGACATTATGCTTTTTATGTAACCTCCTAAGTGCAGCAGTGCCTTCAAGGCACAAGAGAGCCCACATGGGTATGAAACATTTTCCTTTCTTGCTTTTTATGTGGTTTACATGACTGACATAGTGATGATGCTTGCTGGGGGGCGGTGGCAGGGGGGGAAACAAACAAGTTTTCTTTTGAAGATGGTTGAAGGAGGATAGAAGACCTGTGCAGAACTTAGTATCTGGACAGTGTCTCATGGAATAAAATTCACTTAGCTTTTGTCAGCTATCCTGTTTTGTGGACAAGCAAGATGCATTACTACTGATAGACTTGGGTTATACACAGTAGAGTAATGGCACTGAGAAACTGTGAAATAGCTCTCTCTGATCAAGTAAAGTTAAAGATCTAAAAAGCCAACAAGAGTCAGGATATTCAGGCTTAAAGCTAGATTTCCATTTTTCAACTTTACACCCCCTATGGTGTTCAGAAGTCTAAACACTCTCTGAATGGCAGGAGATTCTCTCTGTACCCCCTCCTCCAATTCTGTTTGATATATAACAGAGTAACGTAAAGTAATGTTGCAGCACATACTCTGAATTTTCTAGTTGTCAGTGCCATTCAGATGCTGCTCAGATTGCTATTGATTTTATCCACCCCCCGACCCCACCCCGGCTCAACCCTCTTTGGCAGTTCAGTTAAAAATATTCCTGCATGTCAAATTTCAACCACGAATCAAAGGGGCATGCAAATGCACCATGCACCTGGATGCAGTGGAGAACTGAAGCTTTGGCTTACTTTCTTTTTCAGGGTTTCCCTGAAGTTGAATCCAGAAGTTCATATTTCTGCTACCACATTTTGTTTTTATTTTTCCTTCTGTTCAGCTCCCTGACATCTTTTTGACAAGCAGGACTACATGGGGCTCCTTTGGAATCCACAAGGACATCACCTTAATGTGTCAGTGGCTTTAGCTTTCCTTGCAGAAGGCTGAATCTGTTGCTAGGCCAGGAATGAGGGATCCATAATATAACACATAATATGTGCAGAGGTTAAAATACTTGAACAGATAAATACAAATCCTAATGGACAGAATTGCTAGCCCTGCTAGTTTGTCTGCTAGGCTGCAGGTTTACGAGGCTTACTTTGAATCTACTCAGAGAATCATCTCCAATTGGCTGCCCATCACCATTCACCCCATTTTGTTGGGGAAGGGTATCCAATTGGAATGGGTGCAAAAGGTAACAGATAAACAGGTGCTTCGTTACACACAACAGTTAGTTACCCCTCCATGCGTCCCTGCAGAGGGGCTTTTCTGTGCTGTAGCAAACTGTGGAGTGACTTCCCCTGCCAGCTTTGCAACTTCTGCTTTGACTTGTGGAACCCTCTAACCCTAACCTGGGGAAGGAGAAGAGAAGACCACGAGCAGAATAGGCTCCATTCAGTTATTGGTGCAAGGGAGAAGTACTATCCTTGACTCTTCCCCTACTCAGCCCTGAGAATGGGAGAAAAAAGGCTACTAGTCTGGTATTTTCTGTCATCCCCTCAGTCTCTGCAAGATGGGGTAAACATCTTGGCACCTGCTTAGGAAAGATAAGTGACCAGGGTGAGAGGTGTTTGGGTAGGTTGGGTTGTTATTATTTAAATGCTGGAGGTGGCTGTGTGAATGTTTAGTAATTAAATGATGAGATGGGGGTTGGTGGGTTAGAAATTAAGTGCTGATAGACTTTTAGTATAAATGTTGGGTTGGGCAGAGGGAGTGAAATGTTGAGGGTAATGGATTTGGATCATGAAATGATGAGGATAGGGTCAGATGTACAGTGAAACCAGTGAGTGGGAACAGGTTGACACAAGAGAAATAAGTTGGAAGAAAGAGAGCCAACAACTAAATTGGTTGAGGTGGGATGAGGTAGGGAGTGAGTGAGACTTGATTCACTGGGGATGCCGCAATTCAGAAATGAATTGAGGCAGAACTGGGGAAGTCTGAGAATTGATTAGGATTAATTACGAGAGTTGCTGCTGCTTATGGCCAGTGGAGACAGGTACCAACAAATTCTCCTTTCTCTCTTTCCTTCTCTCATTCTCTGATTCCATCTTTCACTCTACTTAGCCATCTATCACTGTTTTCTCTATGTTTATTAATGAAGAAATCTGTGGAGTTTTGCAATGATGATGTCATGCATGGAAGACTTTGTGGCAGCATATGCATTGGGCTTCTTCAAATTTTAGATAAAGTTACCAAATATTTTCTCTATTTATTGATGCACTGATTGTAACATATATGCTGTTCAATGGCACTATCAATGAAAGGCACTATCAATGAATTTCCTCTCTTTTTATACAGACTTGCAGCATATGTTCATATACAACTATATATATATATATATATATATATAGCTTAATACCCTTTAGCTCTGAACTTTTCTTGGACTACTCCCTTTGGGGCTATCTGATATGTCCAAACCCATTATGGTACAAATAATATACTATATAGTTTACAAAATTGTGCATAGTTTCTATAACTGAGAAATATACCTGCAAAAATGTATTCTCCTCTGTTCTCCTTCAGTATTCAATAAAATGAAGGAGAACCTAAAACTTTACATCAATATCTAAATGTAATTTTAGTGTCTTTATTGTTCTGGCTGCATTTTCCCTTCTGTAATCTTTTTTTTTGGTGGGGGGAGGGATTTCTATGTTTGGACAATGCAAAAAAAGGCTGACTGCTCCCAGCAGTCAGCTGTCATGACCTTTTCTGAGACTTTTGGATTGTGACTGATTGGACACATCCTATGGAGCCTTCACCAGGATAACTCTCTAATGGCAAGTTGCTTAGGCATTATATTTTTGTTGTTTAACTGCTATTCATCACTTACAGAATTTGTGAGACACTCCTGAGACTTTTACCATGATACAAGCTTTCTTTTTGCAGAGACCAGCATGCTCTTGCGCCAAAAAAAGTGCTCTTCAAATTATACTAGCAGGTGCAGCACTTTGTTGTAGCAATAGAAGCATCTCTTTTAGGATCCCCAGCCAAGCCATCCTACCAGGTTGGTGAGTTGGACTCATTACCAGCTCCTCTTTCACTTGAAGTTATCAGACACTAGACTACCTTGCCCTTTTACACTTCTGCCTGCAGACGTTTGACTGCTTGCTGCTGACTCAGATGCTGCTGTCTCAGCTGAGAACACGGCGCTCTATGAGTCATGCACTATCTCCACAGGCACACTGCTTAAAGGGCATGGTTGAATACTGGCTGTTTCTGTGCCCTTAGAGGCAAGGGGAGTCTTGGGCTGCTGAGTGGATTGTAAGCATGTCAGCAAGTGTTACATCACCTTTTCCTGGGTCCCCTCCTGGCTTCTTTCCAATCACACTTCTATCAATTTATCTAACATAAACTTGAGAGTGTGTAGTTCTTGGGTCATATGTACACTCAGTAAAAAGGGGCAGTCAAATCACATTTTCATGATGATCTGGAAACAGTTGCCGCTGCTTTGTCAGATGGTGAGTCATCACAAATTGTTTTATTGTGCCACAGAAGGCTGCTCTTTGCTGAATACGTCACATAGCCACTGTTACTTTTTGAATAGTTGACTTTGTGGAGAAATGTAAAGATATATGAGTTGGCATCATGAAATAGCAGCACGTACGCATTACTTGACTCTTCTATGCATTAAAATCAAAGTGGCAGGAGCTCATTAGTAGTCAGTTGAAGTGTAAATAGCATTCAGTGATGGAAAATGGCACCCCTCTGTCTAAGCAGGAGCAGAAATAAGTTTTTTTTTAAGATGAGCTAATGCCATGTGTGCATTCATCCTGGAAATTCATGGCAAGGGTGGATGTTCTAGCTACCATGCTAAAATCATAAATATTTTGCAAAGGCCAATAAAACAAAGAGCTCATAACTTACAGATACAATTTTCCAAATCTATGGAGAGGAAACAACAAACGTTTATATCACCCAGCTGAACACACACACACTCCCTGGAGTTAGCTTTCATGGAATAAGGCATACATTTTTCTATTTCATAATTGTCGGGCACCTAATTTTTCAACACATTGTATATAATTACCAAAGTCAGTCTTCCATAACCTTTGCATACAGCAAAGCAATTGTTCTGTTGTCATTCGTAGTACAGTAATAGTCTTTGCTGTGGAAACATGAAAGACAAGATTTGGAGCTAGATTCCATTCAACTTAGCTCTGTAAATGGGCTTCGGTGCCTAACAACAGTTCTATTTCACCCTGCTCAACCCCCTGATACTCCACTAAGGTATCTACTTTCATAAAAACTACCATCTTGCCCTTTAGATTAAGTAAAAAAAAAATAACAAGAAAGAGAAGGACGCACCTAACTTTATGACAGCTTCTGCATGAGGTACTTGGTTATTCCCAGACTTCTAAGTTTCTGTAGAACTTGAGGGGTTCCTGCCATTTTGTTGATCTCACCAAGTATTTTTGGTGATCTCAAATAGAAACAAAGAACCCACTGAAAAAACATGTGATAGGCTGCAAAAACTGGAAAAAAGTGCGTTTTTTGCATGTATTGTATAGAATGAAATATCAGACACGTTCTTTGAATGAAGGAAAGCCAAATATTAGTAGCTGAATGATAGCTGGTATTACAGTAAACATGTATCAAATGTTGTTTTCTATTCTATGGAAAAGGTAGCTGACTGATCATGTATAAAATGCAATTTGTTTGTCAGAAATTTTCCTTGGGTTACATTTTTCTGATTTATATGAAACTAATCCTTCCCTACTACAATTTGTTGTAGAAAGGACTGAGGGGCAGAGGTACCACTGAAATCTTTCATAATCGCTATTCAAGGGATAAAGCACAAGACGAAAGACAAAGGTCCTGTCTCCTTGTTAGCCATGGATCCTAGCTTCTCATCCTCAACATCACACCTCGGGGGCGGGGGTGACCAATATGGCACTAGGGAGAATCTTGTAGGCTAATAGAAATATTTAAACAGTTAGCTTATGTTGTTCCTTGTGGGCATTTCCTCGATATTAAGGATATCACCATTTTTCCTATGCACAAAATCTCTGGAGCGAGCTGTATTTCATGCTTCATGCTAGATGGGTCACTGAAATCTGATAATCTGACTTATTTTGCTTGGTTCCCTTTGTGTGCTGAGATGTATCATTTTTCCCCTTAACTAATCATTTTAGATATCTCTATTTCTTTTGAATTAGCAACAATATATAATTAAGGATATTTTGTTGCTGGGCTTCCTCCCTTCCTTGGTTTCCCAGCATTTGTAGCAGACAATGGGTTTGTTGGCTGGCTCCTTGCCTATTAATTCTGAACAATAAATACAAATGTGCTACCAATGTTATTTACCATCCTTTCTGGTTCAGTGGTTCTGAAATTCTTCTATCTGATGTGGGGTCTCCCCTCTTCAGTCTCAGACAAGATACAAAAGATGAGTAGCCAAGATCACTAGATAGAGTTCAGAATTTTGTTCACCTGCCTTATGCTTTGATTCATTGTAAAGATCCCGTGTTAATTTTTCAGGAAGAAGCATCGTGGATCCCTATAACTTCAGAAGAATGAAAATTCACAGTAAGTCAGTAAAATATGAAAAGCTTGCAAATTAATCATGTCTTATATAGGCCATATATTAAACAATGGTGAATAATATATAATATTGTACATCTTTAATTACACAACCATTGCTGCTGTCACATAGGGCTGCCAACCCAAGAATTTTTTTACTGACAATTTGCAAACATTTTATTGACAGAGAAACTTTGTTACATATTTTTACTGTCAGTGTAAAAAAAAAAAAAAAAAAAAAAAAAAAAGTTCTGTGTTGACAGCCCTATGTGACAGCAGCAATGGTTTTATTCCAGAAGTTCTCAAACTTTTCAGGATTCAGAAACCACTCCATACCTTTTCTGAATTTTGTGGCACCCTAGTTGAGAACCACTGGCCTAATACAGTAAGCATTTGACAAGAATGCAATGTTTTTAGGACTTTGTCCTGCATCCATTTGTTGTCACAGATGCAGGTAAAATAAAAGGAATATAATAAAACCTGTTGGTAGGGCTGATACCACTTGAAAAGAAGCATCCCTATTGCTAAACCAAGGAGTAACCCGGCATCGCAGATGCCTAACCAGTTCTTTCTGTGCCTTGAGTA